GAATAACGGTCGAGGAATTCCTCGACCATGGCTCTCTACTGTGCGAGAGTAATGTCGAGAGTGAATGTACGCGCGGAGAGCACAGACGGCTCGCGGTGGCGAGAGTGAATGTCCGCGCGCGAGAGCGCGACTGAATCAGGAGAAAATCCTCGACGAGTCGCCGACAAATACTGGACCGATTTCACCCTGGCTCACAATCTCAACGAATAAGCATTTTCGTTCTTAATTTTTTCGATTACCGTATCCAATGTCCATCATATCACCATCAAGAGCGTGTGGAAATATGTTGTTGGTGATAGCAGGGCTTGAAAGCGCAAAGAACTCCGGACAATTCATTGAGATGTGCCAGATACGTGACTCAAACCGAGATTTCCCTCCATGTCTGATGTGTGGTGGGCTTGGGTCATGGCATTCGCGACGTACCGTCATTTATATCAGTTCTTTTACCTGCTCGGACAATTAGAGCAACAATTAAGTGACCATAGAGGGGGCACGGTTTGATTGGTTCGGGCGGAACGCAATTTTATCCTATAGACAATGGGAGGTCGAAATGGCGTGTCCAGTTACTGCGTTACCACTGCTTCGCTTCGAATAATCACACCATTCCTATTTCCTTCTCCTTATCGCCTTATGAAAATCAACCCTTAAGAAAGGAAAAACAGACATTCACCCGGAAGACAAAAATGGACGATGGTGTTGTAATGGCGAATTGTGCCATACAGTCGCATTACACAAGGATCAAATTCTGGGTCAAATTTCGGCCAAAAAGGCTTCCATCCCTCCGGGATCGGCCAAGTGGCACCGGCTCAGTTTGAGAGGACAAAAACACCAAAGTGCACATCGGCTGCCTCCCCCCCCTCCAAAGCCATTGCATAGGTCAAACCCTATTCAGTGTGCCACCTTGACTCGGAATGTGAGTATGATCCGTGGCGCACCCCAGAGGGGACCGACAAACGCCAACTCCTTTATTCTTTATACATTAAAAGTCAGTAATACCCAGACGTCTGTTTAAGAGTCCCGTCCGTGGTCTGCAGATTTCAGGATCCAACCTAGGTCCTTACATCGACACGAATCGACTGTAATGAGTGCTTCGGAGCAGGAAAAGCTGAGAGGTACTGTAATCAATTTTGGGGCCTTAGTTTGTTTGGGTCCTACAAAGAATGTGAACCAAGGGCACCAACCTTTCCCCCCAGTATTGGAAATGTTGATTCCGATATTTCGCCTTCATGAGGAGCCTTATTTGGCCAAAGAATTTTCAAGGGCTTTCGTTCCAAGCAAAATCCAACTTGAAAACAAAAACCTACGGAAAAAGTGCTCATGGCAACCGACACATTTTTATTTCATTTTTTAATTTGTTGTGATTTGTATGCTTCTCTTGGCAGTCTGCGTTCGGAGCAGCCCTTTTTCGGATATTCAGCCGAACCCCACGTGAATTTCTCCTAGTATTGCTTGCGGTGCAGGGATAAGTGCAAATATACAAGAAAACGAAACCGGTTCCATTGCATTGGACCAATAAGACTATTCTGGGACGATTTTTTAGGTCTTTGTTCACGTTTCGTGAGAAGCAACACTTGGGGTGAAACCGGCTTCCCAGCTGTCTCTCTCCGATACGAACGTTTAGGGCGGCGACAGAAAAGCGGAAAATCACCAGTTTCGTTGGCCAACATGGTTATTATTGGTAGAAATTTGAAACCGGAATTTCTAGTAGTGAAAGACTCGTCCCAAGTGACTGAAGGTCTGGAACCATCGTAAAGCAAAGCTCTGAGCTCAGCTATGACACTGACACACTGTAGACATCAGAAACAATCATCATAAACAACTAGCATGGTACTGAGGTCAGTACTTTATCTCCCTGTTCATTCCGTTCTATGGCCAAGCTAAAGCATTCTCTAGTAATGGAAAGTTAGGGTGCCTGACAGGAGGCCCGTCGCGCGGCAAGAAGGCAGAGTCAGCGGACGAGTCGCAGCGCGTACTGTAGTGATTTCGCGTCAAGTTAAATAGAATGTACCATTGTACGTCCTACATCGCACATCACGCGCTGCGACTCGTCCGCTGACTCTGCTGCCTTCTTGCCGCACGACGGGCCTCCTGTCGGGTACCCAGAAAGTTGGACCAACGGGCTCGAGTTAGAAAGCTAGCTGTGGAGAGGAATTTAGAGGCACAACCCGGGCAGATAATGATCTATGAGATAATCCTTTCTTGGTCTGTAGGATAGACACCTAGTAGACTATCACAGATGTGGCACTCCCGTGCACGGAACTCGCCCTCCAAAGGCGCTATGGCCTTGCAAAGATGCTTTAAGTTCCCCAGCAGCCTTGTCTAGCGCCTTTTCATCTACTGCGCTCACTCTTTCGCTTCTAAGTCTTTGCGCATAAACGTCCCCATCCTAGCAGGCTCATTAAGTATCTCAAGCCAAAGAAACGTTTCAAGTGCAGATTTTGAATTTAGCAAACCGATTAAGAAGGCCTACCTTATTCGCAGAAAGGCGGTGAATTGTGGTAGGAGAGCTACATCCGATCCTCGATACTCTCCCCAGCAACGCATCAGGGAATCTCGAGCTGCTCGGATCAACGCCCGATTCTCCACACGACATTCACCTAGAAGATCATAGTAATAGAGCAAAATGAACAACTAAACAAGCTTCTTGGAAAAGGAAAATTGGAAGGCCTGATCTGCTAATGGATCCCTGAAAAGCTCCTATTATGAAGGTCTGATCTGGCGAAAATCCTCTCAGCATAGCTCATCAAGGCGCACTATACTGCATTACTCCACCCCCCTTATTGGCAAGATATTCCTTCCTAAAATGTTAAACCTCCCCTACGGGTAAACCTATTTTTCAGAAAACCAGTCCTATTTTCCAAAAATGTTTCAGCAAAGGGTAGATAGTGCCTTTCCCTAACTACACATTTAGATGCAAGCTTCACTCAGCACTAAGTCTTTTCCGCTCAGTCCTCTGTGGCACTGTGGTTAGGGTACGTGAATATCTGGAACTTCTGCTTTGAGGCAGGGCTGTTTCTGCCGAAAGTCAGTTGCATCGACGACAAAAAATGCGCTCTCATGACAATATGTGCCCCACTGATATTTCTCGCTACTATCGGCTGCTTTATCAAGACTAAAATACAAAAAGCTTCCAGAATCCCGGTGTTCAAGTTCCTCCTCATTCAATGTTCGTATCCTCTTTCCCTTATTCCCTTTTCTTCCTCTATTCCCTTTTTGAATGCTACCGTCGGTGTGAAGTCAGCGCATAACTGCTCTGCTCTGCCTCCTCTCTCACGATAATATTGAATCAAACATCCACGCCTCCGCCACAAGCCAGCCAAAATTCTAATCACGAAGACGTGTCCGCCTTCAGCGACCCTGTGGGGAGCCGAGATTGTCTTTTGTCATGTACGGCTTTGTGCAAACCCCGGCATGAAATAGTTATATGTTATACGCGAGAAGTTGGAAGCTGAAAATGGCTGATTCACGGTGTATCAGGAAGACGCAGGCACAACAACGCGAGATGCCAAGGTCAAGTACAGTATGTAACAGTAGTAAAGTTTTATAGTTAAAGTAGTAGTAGTAACAGTAGCCAAGGTCAACGCTGAGCCTTCCTCATTTGTTCTTTCACCTAAAGCTACCCAAGTCAACTCATAAATGACGTAAGACATACCATCCTCGTGGAATAAAGCCAGGTATCGAAAAGCAGCAAGATCGACTCTTGTGAAGCCACGGCTAGCCAGAAGATGGACGATTTCTGTCCATAAAGCCAACAATGAACAATCACCCATCACAGCCGCCAAGCCTGATGGAACCCTGAAAAAATATTGGTTACTTTCGCCTCCTGCACAAGTAAAACTTTAGTATGGTTACGAAGATCCTACAAAAGACGATGAAGAAACGAAAAGGTAAGAAAAACAACTTCAAATTTCACGTTAACAATTTGCAAAACACACAAACCAACGCCATTGAGCTGATGGCACCTCTTATTTGAAACTGGGTTGCTCACAGGCGAAGACGCGCGCGGTCGCGAGGCGGCAAAGCACAGTGCAGTCATGCGTGTCATTTTGCGACCAAACACGGGCGTTTAAAATCAGGTCAAGTTCTAGTTAAATTGGGGACCTTAATTAAAACCCTCCACAAGCCATTTTGCCTGGCAGTTTTTCATTATGAAGAAAAACCTTTTCCACTCTATAACTCCTCATCTTACTTGGTTAGTATTAACTAAAAATAACTAAGTTCTCATGGCTTGGTGCTCCACGTGGTAGCCGATGAACGACTGAGTTTTGGCTATTGATTGGATAGTTTGTAAACAAACGGAACATATTCGTAGATACATTAGTTTTCTACTAATCAATAAGTAAATTGCTGACTCTAGTCCGTTGTTCATCTTGATACTGGCCGGTATCGCTCCAATAACGGCGGCATACGCGAAATCAGCTATATGAACAGCTGCCCAGCTAGCATGCAACAGCTGCATTTGATCAGCCATCTGAAAAGTTTCGATCGATAATTCACAAGCATTTTTTCCAGGAATTCACATTTGGTCCGCATGGCTGACCTCTAGCTCACGGAAGTACGGTGCTGCCTTTGCCCACGCGACCAGCTGTCCCAAATTATCCTCTACCGCCGACACACAGAACGAGAATGGCTCCCATCGAGGCCATTTGTGCAATAAACAATACAACCTGAAAGCGAAAACTGTTTGAAGAATATCATCAAAAGGTCTTTCATAAATATTGTCTTTTCTAGACTGGACCGCGTTAAAACCGCGACATTTACAAACACCGTGACGCGCATGCGCGTCAGTTTTCTAGAGCTGAGCCCCTTCTTGTTCAATCAATCTGGTATTTTTACGGTTCTAAGCTGTCCACCTACATTATTGGATTCGAAAAAATGATGCTCATCACCATTACCATTATTTATGGGGTAATGAATTCAAAAAAATGTTGAAAAAAGAGTCGAGCTCAAATAGTACAAGAGGCTTCCGTCAATGTATTGAGCACTTGTATTCACCCCTTCAGATCTTTTATCTGGCCTCATTATTTCACATGATAATTTAATTGTACTTCTCCAACCTGGTCAGTACAGGAATCCCCACGAGCAGGATGACCAGGGTGTCGAGAGGATTTGGCTGAAATGACCCACCAAGGGCTGCCACGACTCCAATGCAGGGCCCTACAACTCGGTCTTCAGGTCCGAATACTGCTCCCATTCTCGACTAATGCTTCCTGACCCCACAGCTGGCTTTCTCGCAAAAAAAAATGTACATGCTGAGGGCGGGCGAGAGAATACCTAGTACAGTCAAAAGTGAAAATTTTCCAAATTTCCCTGGAATTCCCAAAAGTCATTGGAAACTTCTCAAAAAAGTAGGGTGGCAAGTTGGCAATTGGCAAGGACTACATATTCGAAACAGAAGCGAAGCCTGCGCGGCGCGTCGCCAACAGTTGCCATTCAGTGTTGACCACTTAATGAGAATTAGCACGCGCACTTTCCAACTACATACCATGTGAAATAATAAATTACTGCAACAAAAGTCGTGAAAGAACTGTACCCCTCCTGACGCCCTAACCTCCCTCCTAAATATGCATTGCACTGCCAGTTCCGTAGTACAGTACCCCTGCTCTAAATACAACCCTCCCTACCAAGCAATGTACAACCCTTGCTCACCCCGCTCATGGGTAAGTGGTCCCAGGACTAACCTTTATATTACAGGTGACCTTTTCAAAAATATGTAAGGGACGACTATAGCCTTATGTGGAGTAAATGGCGCTCCACCACACAAGCACTACTGGCGCTTCCCCATATTGAAGAACGTTTACTACTTAGTTGAACTATCATAGGACAAAGCAGGAGCAGAACAGGTCAAGGGAAATTAAAATGTTATTGAAATCAGGACCAGTTTAGCATGCCGCAGCAGGAATAGCTAAATACGACTTTCACCTCATCGATCAATAAGTATGGTTTCTGTTGGAGACGTTTTTTCTTAGCCCCCTTCAACAGAAATGAACGATTTTGGTGATTAAGAAAGGATCGAATTTCGTTCAAATCTCGAGTCTGTTATTTTCCACGATGTGTCCTTGGTAGATGTCAGATTTTAGTAGAAAAACATCGAGGTTTTTTTTTACAAAGCCAAAGTGTCAACTGCAAAGGAGTTTTCGCCTCGGTTTTTATGAGAGGAGTTTTTCGACCTTGAATCGTCAGGTAAGCGATCGTGCTGATGGAGAGCGGTGGACGACAGCGTTCAAATTCCATATGCTCACGAGGTGCTTCTCTGTCGGCGTCGGCAACCAGACCGGCAAACACATACCATGATCTACTGAATGATCCTGCAAAACCATAGCATGGTCATGTGAAAAGACGTTTGTAACGGGATACAGAAAAGCAAGAATATTTCCCAAAAAAACTCAAAGCGAACAACCAATAAATGACGCCCGAAATTTGAATGCGGAGAAAGCGGGACTAGAAAAGGAAAGTATGCGCGAAAAAAGCGCTCGTCGGAAACCGGAAATCGTAAGCGGAATAATGAAAGAGAACAACCACATTTAAACATGATATCCTTTGCTCCTCTCTTTCTACAACATTGACAAAAAGTAAGTCAGGGCCTTTAGATTTGTATTAAGAACAGAAATGTTTGGGAATGAACGAGTATGTACAAAATTGAAGTGGAAAGGAATCGGAAATCGGAACAAAGAGCGCTCCCGTTTAATGAATCGATAACTGGACGATAAAGAGTAAATCTCGTGATGCTAGCTATTTTGATTCGAAGCTTATTGGCTCTTTCCAGATGCACTACACAATGTAAAAGCTTAAAAACGGTGGTTATACTGTATGAGTTCTTGGCAGGACCTGCTTGACCTAATTACGCTTGGCTTTTTAATGTTACCAGATTGAGAGAACGTATGGAAAATTGAAAGCCATGTCTGCATACAGTTTAGGTGTACATGAAAGGAATTCCTCTCAGGCCCTTTTTTTAAAGAGTAAATAATTCTCACTCGACCCATCAGACCCTTTGGCCCTATTTTTCATTTGACCATATTTACCCTTCCCAGCACCTCTCACCGAAACTGGACTAGGTCTGTCCCAGAAATTTTCCCGAGAGTATCTCGGCTAGAAATTTTCGCCTCCGATAGGTCGAACCCGAAAAATGACTACCAGGTCTCTGAAAGCGTTTGCGGTCACAAAACAGCTCAAACCACCAAATTCGCTGAAAATTTGCCTAGAGGGCTATTTTTACACGGTGAACGCAAACAACACATCCGTTTAGCGTGAAATGCTAGGAGCTAGCGCCATAGGCGCCAGCGCTAAATGAGTGTGACACGCCAGTGGTGCAGATGATGCAGGCTTTCGAGCCAAGCTTTAAGATTGCCATGCTCCTTTAGCCGAATCTTTCCTTCTGGGCGAATTTCAATGTGTCATGTGTGAAATGAGTAGGAAGCTCTTTGGAGAGTCACATACCACTAGCCCCTGCTCTGCCCCTTTGCTTGACGAAATTTTGATGGATTTTTGTGGGAAGAGATGTAATAAGTCATGTAGTAGAAGGTCCGACCCGTCGACACATAGGGCATTATGGAGGGGGTCCTGTAGAGGAAGGGGTGCCCGATTGGAACTTGTCACAACGTTGCCCGTCTGTCACAATCTATCAGAATGTATTCATAAGGGATTACAAATCACATACAGGAAGTTGAGCACATAACAGATCAAGCAGGAACTGGGTATTTGGAAGGGGCAACATCTGAAAACTTGTGGGGAAATAGATTAACCAAGGTATTCCGGAGCCGATTCTG